GCTGGTTCCCCGTGTCCGTCAGGGCCACGCGGCCGGTGCTGTTGGGTGTGAAGGCGATGATGTTGCAATAGTCCCGGAAGTAGCCCCGGCACCAGTACTTGGGGTGGTCCTTGTAGTGGGCGTCGTAGCTGCAGACAGCAGACGCTGTGTCCAGCACGAAGCTTTCCTTGACCTTGTTGTCCATGACCATGGCTTCTGTCAGAAGACACACACGCAGGGAGGGAGGAGAGGGTAAAGGGGGGATAAACTGTGACAGCAGGAGACTTGCCTTGCAGTGGTGAACACATAATACAACATACAGATGATGCATTATAGAATTGTACACCTGAAACCTGTATGATTTTATGAACCAATGTCACCCCGATAAAGTCATTACAACACACACACGTACACGTGAAAACGCCATTTTTCTTTTAAACACGTAGTAGCTCCCACCCTCCTGGAGGAAAAGTAGTTAAAGCCTGGGAGGCTGATCCTCGCCCGTTTGGGGCCACATCTGTTATGGGCTGAGAAGCGCACTCTAAAGTTTGTGTGTCGAAACGCTACCCCGGGTAATGCAGAATGTGACCGTGTTTAGAGCCAGGGACTTTACAGAGGCAACTGGGTTGAAATGGAGTTGTGAGAATGGGCCCTGTGCTTGACCTTTGTCTTTCTCAAAAAGGAGATTAGGACCCACGACAGAGGGAAGGACCATGTGAGGAGGACACCAGGAAAAGTGCCCCGTCTGCAAACCAAAGAGAGGGGCCTTGGGAGAAGCCAAACCCGCCAAACCCTTGATCTTGAACTTCTAGTCTCCAGAACTGTACGGAGGTGAATTTCTCTGGTCTAAGCCTCCCAGTCTGTGGTGTCTGTCGCAGTCGGCCCAGCCAATTAATGCAGCAGCCCTGGAGGGGTCTTCTACCCCAGGTGAAGGGTGCATAAAATATGGGTCCCCCTCCGCAGAAACTGTGGAGTTCTCCCACCACAGCTCAGCAGGGGGCTTGAGGAGCCTCAGGCTCACTGTTCATAGATCTCTGCTCCCAACACCCCCTCCACCTTGCACCCTGAAAATGAAAGCGGAAAGGTTCGGGGGTGTCTGCTGGCTGCATGGGGCGAAAATGGGGAGTCAGGCTCTGTCTGTCCTTAGGGAGCAAGAACTTCTTATTTCCTGGCTGCAAGGCCAGCTGGAGTATCTCTGTCGTCTCAGGATATTGCACAACAAGGAAGTCATGCAAACCACATCCAGCTTGACCGTGGCTGGGGAAGTGACCAACCGAGGAAAAGAGGTGGGGGCAGCAGCCCGTCCACGTCTCAGCCTCCAGATGTGGGCCCGGCTCCCCTCATATGCTGCCCCCAGGGAAGCTTATGGTGAGTGGAACCATCCTACGAAGCAGGCTCACGTCCTTGAGGTCAATGGATGGCATATGAGCTTTTGTCTTCACATCAGCCTCACAAGGAAGATGGTGTGACGCTCAGCTTACTGGTGGGGGCGCTGAGGCCGAGACGTGCAGCAACTCTCAAGGGCCACATGGCTGGAGGGCTGCAGAGCCAGGGCCAGCTCAGCGCCGTCTTCGGAGTCAGCAGTGGGCAGAAATAGAAAAGTCCCATCCTAATATATCTGCACAAATCTTTGTAAGGGGATGAGAGGAACTTAAACCAAAAGAGAGAACACAGAGCCCTCATTGAAGCCTAGGGTTTGAAATTCCCCACTACCCTGCAATCGGAGATCAGAACAACTGTTTTGGACAAGATTGATTTTCACCTCCTTTTATTTCCCTGTCCCACTCCTTTGGCGGTTTGAACTACTAAGTAGGAGAGGAGGAGGCAAACAGGCCTCTGGGAGGTCAGGAGAGCTGACGGGGTCCTTCCCCACGCCTCACCTGAGAAGACCGCCAGGGAGAGCAGAACGAAGACCCCCATGACTGGGGGGAAACAAGCCTTCAACTGGAAGGCCGAGTTATATCCAGGGGTCTCGGGAATCCTGGGTCTGTTTAAGGCAAACAGGTTTCTTTGAGCTTAATAAGGCTTTGTCCTGTAGGGAGAAACCGGGGACAAGGGAACAACCAGTTAATCCAGGCAGTGGTCCATATACAGTGTCCGGGCTGTGTGACAACATATGGTGTACAGTTGTGTGACCGTGTGTGGTGTCCAGGCGGTGTGACCATGTACAGTGTCCAGGCCGTGCACTGCACAGGGCACCTCATTGGAGGGACACCATTCACGGACACAAACTACAGAATAAAATGGGGCAACTGAGAAAATTCTGGGCTTCCTTGCAGGCTCCAAAACAGGAATGGAGACTCCCATTGGGGTTAAGACCACCTGACACAAAGCCCTGCCCACACACACCGCCAGAGGCACACATTCCCACACACTGCTGTGCCTGCGTTTGTTCCGGTGTCCCCAGAGGCCATCCGTGTGGCCCATCCCCCACGATGGGGGCCAACTCCTCTTTAGCCGAGAGGAAGGCTCGTAAGGAGACACCTAACCTCCCTGACTCCGGAGTGGAGGCTGCAACCTTGCTGGGGGCAGGGTTGGGGGTGGACCACGAAGCTGTGGGGAGCAGATGTGTCCCAACAGACCTGCAACATGTGAGCAGGCCCACGGCCAGCCAAGGAAACCAGCCCCTTATCTGCAGAAGAGGCCCAGGACGCCAGCCTGCTGCACACCAGACCAGCAGGAAGTCGGGCCATCCTGTCCACCAGTAGCCCAGACCACCAAACAGCACCCCTGTAAACGACCAGCCCCACGGCCAGGACTTGATGATGACGGACAGCTTCCCTCTTTTTTTGTCCTGCTTCCAAACTGGGACCGACCAGAGAAAGTCAAATTGGCCCCTCTAACTACAGGAAGCCCCCTGTAGTTAGCCGGCCACAGCAGCCTCCCCAGGACATCAGCCCCAGTCAGGGCGTCCCCACTCCCCTGACCACCTAGGAGTCTCCGCCCAGACATAAGGGACGAGGCTGACTCCCCGGCTGCAGTGAACTCAGAACAGATAGCCTTTTCTCATTTAGTCTATATTCATAGTTGACTTGATTTTTAAAGACTGGATAGATAAACCCAGCTACTTAACATGTATCTTTGTCCCAGTGAAGCCATAAGCGGGCAGAGGAAGCAACCTCGGTTTTGTCAGGGTGGCTTTTCACTCTCTTCCTTTAGAATGAAAGTCCAACATCGCCCTTTCCCGTTCAGCAGAGGAGAGCTGGCCAGGAGAGGAGATTCAGGGAAACCCCGACGTCATCTCTAAACCTGAAACCTGGGTGTAACTCACCACTTCTACCCAAGCTCCTCACGCGTGATTCTTGGTTCATCTTTTTTAAGTTCTCCCCAAAGGACATTTTCAGTTTAAGGGCTTCTTCTGGACAGGTGGAGCACCTCAGCTCAGGAGATGCCCATTTGACAAAAAAACAAACAAAAAAATCAACTCCATCCGGAAGAGAAGAGAGGGGAGGAGGAGAAAGGGAGAAAAGAAAACACTGAGTTTTTGAAACTCAGGGCCTATGGCTCTCAGGGTGACATCTGATGACGCAGGACAGACTGCTGATTTGTTCTCGGGGAAGTGATTCCTTTAAATCGAGTTTCCAGAAAGGGCCGCGGCTGAGTGTTGCTGTAGCAACGAAGTTCAAGATTATAAATTAAGCTTGAGTGAAGATCACCAGAAACTGAGAACGAACCAGAACTTCCCTCAAGTTGCCCCCTAGGCAAAGCGGTTTCTGGGCGGAACAGTGGGCCAGGGTCACCAGCAGCCCCAGGGTGGACCAGGTGCCTGGTCCTGGAGGGACATTTTAACTAGACACAAAAATTCCTTGACTCAAATAAGGGAACACCACCAAGAAAAAAGCTGGGGAGCAGGTGGAATTCTTAAGGAAAAACATCCCCCAAAAGGTTGAAGGGGAGTGTCAGGAATAAAGCCACCCCCATTCCCAGGGACCCACAGGAACTTGGGGGCTGTGTTCATCTCTGCCCCCAAGATATGATTGCGAGTAATGCCAGGAAGTGGGTGGGGTGACCCACTTAAACTTTCCAGATGGGAAGTATTGGCTCTTCCTGGGGTGACAAGAGGAGGAACAAGAAAACTCCCCTGAGACTTTAACCGGACGAACAGGGTTACCAGACTCCCACCTCAGACAGCAGTTAGGATAAACTTTCAGGACTGGCTATGAATTAATTTTTTATTCATCTCAGTGCTTTTGTCCTTTTGGGCGTGGTGTAATGGAAGTCCCCATCTTTCTGCTCTTTGTCAAGTTCATGTTTATTGTCTTGGGAATCAGTGTCCACAGGTGCAATTTTGGATAGACCACACCAGAGATGCCACCTTGAATCTCCAAAGCCACGCTCTGTGCTTGGGTGATGTGACTTAAACTCTATGCCTGCCTGGGGTCCTGATTAGTGAGAGACCAACACTAGTAACAAAGGCACCCCCCCAAACAACAACAACATCCCAGCAGTCCTGGGATGTGTAAATAGTATGAGCCTATGCATCTGCTAATTGTACATTAGGTGAACTTGAGAGTTTGGATTTTGGAGAAGTTCCAAGTCCCTCTTCATGTTGGAGAACAGGTGGTGAGAAGCTGGGGTTCTCCTATGAGGCAGGGGTGAGTTTAAATCCCGGTTCTCCTACACGTTAATTGTGTGACTCTAGAAAAAGTACCCAGCACCTCTGTGCCTCCGTTCTTTTGTCTGCAAAATGGATGTGTGCAAAGTGCTCAGTACACAGAAAACGCTCAATGGAGAGTAACCATGCAGCGTCTCTTTCTGCCCCACCCTCACTAGTCCTCCTACAATGCAACACCAGAGGAGAAATTAGGACTTAGCTCAAGAGGGAGAATCATTCTTTTTCAATCAATGAAGGAACCACAAAGTTGGCAAGTGCTCTCCTATCAGCCCAGGTAAAGAAGGAGCAGAGTCTTTTGAAGCAAAGAGCCAGGTGCCCAGGATTCAAACAGATGGACACGCCTGTGGCTCCAGGTGGCCAGCAGGCTGCAAGCCCTTGTGACCCTCATCAGAGAGCTTCACAGAAGGTGGCTATCATCTTTTATTTACTCAAACACATTTACACGCGAATTCGGTAGTTTAAGTACCCGCTTCAACCGCGTTCCCTCCTTCTGTTCCCACTGGCTCCCAGGCCTCTGCTGGGAGCCGGCTTCTCTGCTCAGTTTTACGTGGTGTGGAGCTGTGCCCTGATCACACAGGGGCGCGGCCTGAAGGGGGCTTTTGTGAAGTCGAAGAGGTATCCTTTGGATTCCGTGACTTTTGTCTGAGAAGGAAGGATACAGGCAATACTAACAATATAACATGCTCCTTAAGTCAGGCATCAGAAAACCGAGTAAGAGATAAAAGACCAAAAAAAAAGAAATCAAATTTGGGGACGAGGGTAGTAGAAGATCACCTGGAGACACCCGTGGAAGAATCAAGGATGTGAAAGACCTCGGCCCGGGGGGACTGGGCCTAAAGTGTGTGTGTTGATGTCGAATCTGAAGACCGATGAGACAGTCGTCTTTCAGGGACAACTACTAAGAAATCTGTTCAACGTCCGAGTCCAAGGAATCAGAGGGCTGGCAGGTCATACAGGCTTTGAGGATCACGAAGTAGGTTTCCTTGAACTTTCTTATTTTGAAAGCGTAGACGACAGGGTTCATCATGGAGTTGGCATGGGACAGCAGGATGCCCAAGTTCACCACCACTTCTGGTACCACGTCGCCCTTGAAGTGGATGACGCAGTTGATGATGGATAAAGGCAGCCAGGACAGAACAAACAGAAAGAGAACGAGGAACAGAGACTTGGCTGTCTTGAACTCCCGCCCATAAAATGCACCTGTCTCTTTGGAGGTCGAAGAGCTCTGGTTGAGTCGGTTCCGGATGACACAGAAGATGTCAATGTAGATGGCGCACATGGCCACGAGGGGGATGAAAATCCAAGAGAAGAAGCTGAAGTAGACCATGTAGTCCATCTTCATGACGGAGAGGAATTTGCAAGGAAGCAGGGTCACATTTCCGGGCAACCCTGAGGATGTTTTGTTGTTCCAGCCAAACATGGGGGTCAGTCCCACCAGGAATGACAGCAGCCAGCAAAGGCCCAGGGCGCACCATATTCTTCTTTGAGTGGTGACCCTCCTGTATCTGTTTGAATGGAAGAGAGTGGGTGAGTTCTCAGCATTTGCTAAGAGAGGGGGTGGGGGAAGAGCTGGTTAGGGGAGCAGGGGAGAATGTTGGTATTCTCTGACCATGTCCACAAAAGTCTGCTGGATGTGAAGATAAGACGAGCAGACAATCATTCAAGGAAAATCCGCAAACTTCTCTGGGGGACCTTTCGAAAGAAGTACGATCTGTAATGGATCAGGAAGTTACCTAGACTCAGGTGCTTGCATGCTCTACTCACAGTCCATTTCTAGCCCAAGAATTCTTCAATTCCTGGGAGGTCAGCTCACCTCAGTCTCCTGGGATCGCCTCCCTGGTGGGAAATGATCTCAAAGCATGTTTGCCTGCACCGTTTTCTTTGTTGTGTTTGTTTTTCGGTACCAATGTCCTTTAGTTATACTATGCCTCCCCCACACCCCCTTTTCCCTTGAATGCCCTGCTTCTGCTCTTGCACTGACACCCACACTTGGTGTGTGAGTGACAGGAATGCGTGGCATTGGGAAGGTCATGTGGAAATGCTTCCGGGTCCATCAAAGCCTCATTCAGGGAGAGTCCTCATTTTTCCTTAAATCACCCTTCCTGACAACATTCTCCAGACCGCAAGCAGAAAACACACAATAAACCGGAGACATTTTTTATGATAACTTTCATTTCACTGATGACAATAGCAAACATAAATGGTACAGCTTCCATTTCTTGAGCAGAGACCTGTGTGCCGGGCATTTTTTTTTCTAAGAGTCTCGCATGTGTTCGCTCACTGTGATGAGGAAGGTGTGATCATTGTCCCCATTTTAGAGGCGAGAGAAGTGGATCAGACAAGTAACTTGTACAAGTTACTTGCAAAGTTACAGAAGTGGTGAAGCCCAGACTGAGAAGAGACAAGGCTGGGTCCAGAGCACCTCAACCACTGCGCAAAGAGAGGAACTAAAGCACAGAAAGTTCTACCACGTGCCCAAGGTCAGATTTCAAGATCCGGAATTGGGGCTTGTTTGTATCAAAACTTCTCCTCTAGCTCCCTCACCACCTTATGTCCCCAAGAGAAGAGAGGAGAAACACGAGACCGATGTAGTCAGGACACCTGGGGAATTGGATTTCTCCATTTGGCAATCTGTCTGTTCACTTGGCCACAGGAAAGAGTGTTACTATTTTGTGCAAGGGAGAACTTTTTTGTCCCCCTTATCAACGTGGAAGAGGAAGCAAAATTAAAACAACTTTCAAATAACCTACATTTGCAGAGAACAGACCTGTGAGTTTATCTCTTATTCTTATCTGTCGGTTCTTTATCTTATCTAGTAGGAGTCTTATCATTTCTGAAAGTCAAGAGCCTTTTTTTTCTCTCTAAAGTTGTGGTAGGCTTTTATCACCTTTAGATCCTCTGGCTGATAGAGCAGCCATGCCTTTAGCTCTTTGGGGGAGGGTGGGATTCCTTTGTTTCTTGTGCTCAAGTCTCAGCTCATCATGGCTAAACCCTTCACAAACCAAATGGTGAAAAGAACCTCTTTGAAGTGCAGAGGTCAATTTGGATGTGTTTTCATCAAAAAGTCTGAGGTCTGGACTTTGTAAGCCCCATTTCCCAGGCACCTCTCTCTCGGCCCCACACCGCCCCTCTTTGCACAGGTTACCTGATTGTGAGCTTGACCCGCAGGTACCGGTCCACAGCAATGGCCAGCAAAAACAGGATGGAGGCATGTGTGAAGACCAGCAGCAGGCAGGTCATGAGAAGACAGCTGTAGAAGTGGATGGTGATGCCCAGGCTGATGACAATGGCCAAAGGCATGACCAGCACCCCAACAGCGATATCAGCCAGGGCTAGAGAGACGATGAAATAGAAGGTGGTGGTGTGCAGGCTGGGGTTCAGCTTGACCACCCAGATGACCAGCATGTTGCCCACTATGGCGCACAGTCCGATGACAGCCTCCGCGGTGATGTAGGAAATTCTGACCAGCGGGTCGGTGCTGTTGACAGCCATCTTGGTTCCCCTGAGGAGCCTCCGCAGGTGACAGGCGCACAAACAGGATCCGTGTGGGCCGGCAAGTGCCCGCTCCTGCTGGAGGTCCAGGCGCGGCAGTGGCCGTCTCAGACTCACAGCTTACCCATTCCTTCTCGCCTCTGTTGGGGCGTTCTCTCCGACGGCCCCTCTCCTTAGAGAGAGCCCATCACGGGGCAATCAGTCCTGGTCCCCCTGCCGGCCACACATCCCAGGTTCCCTCCAAGAGCCTGGAGGACACTTCTACGTGGGCTGAATCTGAAAGAGCTGTGGCACTTAGTTCCCCAGACAGATATGCTTAAGGACCCCGCCTTCGCCTGTCCCCGAGGGCTAATGAAGCGCCATCAAGATAAGCAAGGCTCTTCGGGGGTGTTTCAGGAAGTGAGATGAGCCGAGAGGAAGCACTGAGCCAGGAGCGCTCAGCTAAAAGGTGGAAAGAGTGGAGGAGGGGGTGTGAGCGGCAGGGAGAGGGCCCAGCCTTCCATTCGTCCAATCAGACCGGAGGCTAGCGCAGCACCGGCGGGGAGAGGAGCTGGGAGCACTGGTGACGTGGTGGCGTGATGGCCTGGCTTTTTGCTGGCGTAGCAAAAATTTCCAAGACAAAGAGGGAATAGGAAATAGATTTTGCTGGCCGGCTTCTCACTTTTGCCAGAATTTACTCTTCCCGGTGCATGTAGCATAGAGACAGACCGTGTGTGAGCCTCCAAATTCATAACAGAAATCTCAAGATGACAGTATTTGGAGGTGGGGCCTCTGGGAGATTGAGTCAAAGGATGGAGCCCTCACGATGGGGCTAGTGTCCTTATAAGAGACCCCACAGAGATCCCGCGCCCCTCCCACCAACCATGAGCCACAAAGTGGGTCCTCATCAGACACGGATTCCACCTGTGTCTCGATCTTGAACTTTGGATCCTCTTGAATGATGAGAAATAAATGTCTGTTGTTTATAAAGCACCCACTTTTTGCTGGGCACAGCGGGAACCCTGCCTTTGCATGGAAGACCTTTTGCCAAAGTGACAAGCTAAGATTCTCCGCTCAGAGCTGCAAAAACTCGGCACCTCCTGTAGGCATCATGGCGGCCACCCCTCCACCCCCTCTTCTCAGCCCACTCCCCAGCACACCCTTGCACTCGTCAGATCTGTGCGAGGCTCAGCAGGACAGTAGGGTACTGGCCGTGCAGAAAGGAGGGAACCCGCACTGTGTGCATGTGATCTCAGGGCACTCCCCCGCCCCTCATGCCCCAAACCCCACCCCCACCCTGCAGCAACAGGTGTCTTCTGTCTGGAAGTCAGAGCAGCTTTCTCTGAAGTTGCTCACCTGGTCTCACCTCCCGGGAACCAGACCCTCAAAAGCAATTGCTATCTGAGGGCAACCTAGTTCAGTTGCTTCTCAGTGCCGCCCCATGGGCTTTATTTATTGTTGATTTGAAAGACAGAAAGGAAGGGGAGGGAGGGGGAGAGAGAGACGTCAATTTGTTCTTCCACTTATTGATGCATTCACTGGTTGATTCTTTTCTGTGCCCTGACCAAGGATCAAACCCTCAACCTCGGTGTATTGGAACGACGCTCTAACCAAATGAGCTACCCGGCCAGGGCCAAAGGGGTTATTGAGAGAAACAGTTGAACCTAAGCCCACACAGTGGGTTTGGGAGTTTGTCATGTCTACCTGAAGGCACCAAGCTATGTATCACCAAAAGTAAAATTCAGCAACAATCAAGTGCCGTTCCAGGGTCTTAGAGCTGCCCGGGCTGGGGCCTGCCGGGGTTTTCGTTGGCGGTTCTGCTCCTTCCTCAGCCACTGATCCCCGCCGCCCCCCAGGCAGGTCCAGGTCTACCTGAGCACCTTGCTCATCCCTGCGGGACTCGCCCCGTCTCCCTGAAGGATCACCTGCCCCAGGCCTCTCCGATTGCATTTCCAGGCTCCACACTCCAGCGCTCACTGTGCCCCCAACCCTACAGCGGCTTCCAGCTCGGCCACCTCTCATGTCTCTCCTGCAACAGCTTTCTTTATCTCTGCTCCCGAGAAGGAAGTCACAGAGTGATTTCTGAGAGGCCACGGGCTCAGGAAACGGTCATTCTCACGCTCTAGCCATCTTCGAGTTTGGACAAATCACTCTAAGAAATGCACCCTCCCACCCAGTGGCACGTTGTGAGCAAAAGACCCTCTGCTGGAGGGATGAGCCGAGGTGTCTGGTGGTGGGGTTGGCACTGCTGAGGTGCAGCTTTCCTGGGGGGTGCGGCCGCCTCGGGTGTGCTCTCAGCCCAGCCTGGGGTGGCTGAGGGAGGAGGGGCCTGCTGGGGGAGTGGAGTGTGGGCCCTCAGTGCTCCAGAGCTGGTCAGGATGGACAGCTCCTGCTTTTAGAAAGACACCCAGCCGTGGCCCTCACCTGGCTGTGGGCCAGGAGCTGGGAGGAGGGCAAAGGGGGCAGGGCCCGGAGAAGTGCCCTAGCCAAGGAGCGAGCCACTGGAAGAGGCCCGGGGGACCCAGGTGACAGCTGTGGCCGAAACCTGACTGCTGTGTTTTCAGCTTCTTGCTCCTTTCTTCTCTTTGTGCCCAGTCCAGTCCTTTTGGAAACAGCCATCTTGGCTGAGTGAGGGAAGCCAAGGCCAGGGTCTGTGTCCGAGCAGCAGTCACAAGAGCAGTGTTGAGGGACAGGAGAGCCCTTGGGGAGAGAATGACCCACAGGACAAAGGACAGGTAGGGACACACCTGGGGCCACTGACCAAGCCCCCTCTTCTCACCTGGGATTTCTGCTGCTCCCATGGACAAAGGAAGCCCTTCCTTACGTTTTCTGAGTACACAAAGCCCATAGCTTCTGGGGGGTAGGCAGTGATTTTTGGGGGTCGGAGAAGAGTCTTTCCCGGTCGCTTTGGCCCGGGATGGGGCCTTCAACGTCCTTTGTCCTTTTCAGCAAAGGGCAGCGGAGAGGCCACAGGTACTCTGGGTTAGGCGGCTTTCCTCATCCCCTCACACAGCCTCGAAGACCACCCACCTCAACCTCCTAGCCCGTCCCCAGGGGCCAGCCCCGCCCATAGCCTGTGCGTTGCCCCCCAGGTGAAGGCCAGGCTTCTGGGAATGGTGGGTGGGGCCCTCCAGATCTTGCAGCCTGCTGTCACCTGGTTCCCCCAGACACGTCAGTCCTCCCCGCTGACTCCTGTGGCTTGAGGCTGCTCTCTCACTTCCTCTCCCCAGTGCCGGTGCCCTTCCCCCGCCTCTGCCTGGAAAACAAGGCTGTTCCGAAACCCAACCTTGAAGAAAGGGCCCCAGACACCGCCCCCTTCTGGGCTCCCAACATGCCGTGCTTAGCCCGTTAGCTCTGGAGGGCGGGGACGTCTACTTTTCATGTCTGCATTTCCAGTCCCTACATAATGCCTGGCGGGTAGTAGGGCTCCGTCTAATTAATGAGAAGTGAACGAGCCAGGGGCATACACTCAGCAGAGGCACCAACACCTGTAAAGCCGCTAGGACCCAGGAAGCACCTTCCATTGTAACAGCTACTGCGCTCCGCATTGTCCTTACAAGTTCTTATACAAGGCTCTCTGATAAAAGACATGCTGTCACTACCACTGAGCCAACCAAGGCTCAGAGGGGTCAAGCGACTTGCCGGGCATTTGCACAGCCAGGATGCGGCAGAGCTGGCTGGCATTCACATCCAGACTCCTGGCTACAGGGCACAGGTCCCAAACCACAGCCTTTGCTCTGAGAAAGTAAGTGACCACAGAAGTTCCCACAGGTACCAGAGTCCCCAGATCTGATGCTGCTGTATTATCAGTAGGGGGTTCTCAGCTTATGTCTGGGAAAGAAGTGGCCTGGACCGTGGGAGCCAAGCACAAGTGTAAAGTAGGTCCAGCCCCAGCTCAAATGAGTTGGGAAGAGAGGGGGGAGCCCACAGACACTTGCACAAGCAGGCCACTGGTGGTGCTGGGCCCCCAAGGGGAGCCCTGGGCCAGAAAGAGAAACGTTCATAGGACCAAAGTGTCCAAATGATTTTTTAAAATAATAAAATAAATTATAAGGGAAACGTTTCTCAGGGGATGTTCCCATCTAAAAGGAGGGTTGTGTCTGTTTCAGTTCTTCTAGAAGAACCTGAACTTCGAGGAGGAGGCAAGGATCTGGGCCTGAATCACAGGAAAGGCCACTGGAGTCCTCAGGAGAGGCCTCGCTTGTCCCCAACCCCAGCCAGGAGTCTCCTTGGGCTGATGCATCCATTCAACCGCAAGGCTGGAGCCTTCACCTTGCAGTTCTGCTCAATGTCTTGTGAGAGGTTGGCCAGAGACTCATCTGATTCTTTGCAGCTTCTCAGAAAAGTCTGGGAAGCCCCAGCAACCAGCCTGCAAAAGCGGTAGGAGGCAGTGTTGGGGGAGGGGGGTGGAGGCTAAGGAAGGGCCCCTGAGCCCTGCCACTGGCGCAGGTGGCTGCCCAGACAGGATGTCGGCAGGCGGAAGGTGGCCCCTCGTGCCGGGGCTGGCTCTCCTGGACTGCAGAGTTGCACAAAATCAGTTTGCTCACTTCCTCTTGGCTCCGTGGCGACTTCCCCAAAGCCTCCTAGCTTTACAGAGCTTTAGGCTTGCTGGCCAACTGCAGAGTCTTAGAAAGACCCAGAGCCCAGGGTCAGCCCAGGAAGGTGGCCAGCCCTTTGCTCCCCTCCTCCCAGCACCCCTCCCTCCTCAGCCACAGGTCAGACCAGACGGAAGAGGCTGGGCCCTTCAGATGGCTTCCTCCAGGGGCTGAGCTGGAGCCACTGTTCCCAGGGGACTTTTTACTAGGGCCCAGTGATTGGAGCCAGTCCAACTGTGGCCAAGGAGCCAGGGTCTCCTGAGACCTGCAGAGTTCAGCAGATTCAGAGCCAGTGTGCGGGGCAGGGGAGGGTCAGGGCTCCCTCACTCGGAGTAACAGGAAATCCTGCCGGTAAAGGGGCGCGGTCACCAGACCTGTCCCCCTCCCCCCATCAGTGTGTCCCAAGTCTCCAGGCCCTAGTGGAGCATCCAGAGAAGGGTTCAGCTAACTCAAAATTTGTTCCAGGCTTTAGGCACTCAGAAAGTGAGGGGGTATTCAAACTACACGAGTCTTACAGTGAGTATAAGCTTCTAGGCATCAGCGTCACAGTTTATTGGTGTCTCTGCTGGGCGCCATGCTCAGCAGTGACCAGGAGATGGCAGCACATGTCCACTGGCACGCAGGACGTGCACTAAAGGATAATTGAATGGCATCCTCTTAAACCCTCCTTGGCTGGCGACCTCAGGCATCGCAGAAAATGAAAAAAAGTGAGAATTAAGGGCAAGGGAGACGAGGATCGGCTGCCAACTGCCTCAGTTCAAGCCCACCCTCCAGACTCTTCCTGGGTAGTGCCACAGTCCATCCTTTTGACTTCATTCTTGCTCTGGCCCTTTACCCACACTCCGAGGGCAGGGACGAATCCTGGACAGAGAAACTGCCGACCCCAAGTGCACACACGGGCCCATGTGCTGGCCCCCTTCTTTTTACCTTCCACCTAGTGACTGGGAC